ATTAAGGGCCTCAAAGAAAATATCCAAGATGAGAAAGTTGTCTCTGCACAATGAAAAGTTTAATAAAAATGTTTTAATTCCCTGCTGGAAAACAGTATAGAAATGAGCCCATTCTTTTTTGTATTATGGAAAAAAAAGGATTAGCACCAAAAATGGTTAAAAAATTATAATTAGTGGAAACCACAGAATGTCATTATAGAGCAGTCTATTAAAATAGTTTTTTTTTTTCTGTTATTGAGCCAATGAATGGAAGACCACAATTACATGTTTCATCCCATTATATAACTGAAACGAGCCTGCAGTTTGGACAAGGAATCCTGCTATAGTTATTAGAAAATGCTGACAGAATTTGTGAGAGAAGCAGGTTTTGCAAAAAAATAAAATAAAAAAATAAAATAATAATAATAAATAAAAAATGCTGTGCAGGTATCCTTGCAGAAGCATATTTAGTTTCCTATGAAAAAATGGGTGGGTCTGTTTCCTCTCTGGTCTGTCTGAGGGTATAAACTATAACGTTCAAAATGTTCAGCAGCAGAATGAAAACTACCCCATGTGTATGTGTGGCCGTTTATGCATTAGACTTACCTGATGTATTCCTCCGATTTCTGGTATTTGCGAGAAAGGTAGCGAGCGGAGCCCCTGCTGGGGATTTTAACCATAGAGAGCTCTTTTCCATACCGAGTCAAATTACAGGGTGTCTCGCAGGGGCATGAGTCACCTGTGCTCTTCTGGAGTAAAGCTGCAGAAGTGTACAGGAAATATTGATGAATTATATTTGCTGAGGACAAGAACTGCAATGAATGGTGTTATAGTTATCATCAATAATCAAGCTCTCAGTGTTGTTGAGTAGTTTTGAATACAATAGGGAGTTTTTAAACCTCCAATTACTTCAAATCAGTGGAGTTGTGAATAATCACTGTTTAAAAATCACTATTATTTGCTGATGATGCATTATTTAGCAGGGGTGTAAAAAGTACAGATACTATGTCAACAAATTTACTCAAGTATCCACATTTTAAAAGTTAAAAAATAAACACCTTTCTTACCTTTAAATTGACTTTTGACTTTTTTTTGTTTAAGTTTAGTATTTATTTTTGATGGAAAAACTGTTAAGAAATCTGTCAAAAATCATTATTTTTCCTATAGTTCTGACTATGTAAAACTTTCAGCAGATGTTAAACTAAAACCAATATCCTGAAACCTGTCACCTATATATTTTCAGTTAAATTTCACAGTGGTTTGACATTTGAATATAATGATTTTTAAATGAATAATCAATACTAATCTTAAATCATATTCACACAATTAATCTACATCAAAGGTTATTATAAAAACTCATTAATATTGTTCAAAGCCTATGTCTGAATGGACTAGTTCACTGAAAAAAAATGTAACATTAACAAAAAACAGTTCTTCAAAATATTTTTCACAGAAGATATGAGGGTGAGTAATTAATGTCAGGATTTTAAATTTGTGGTGAACTATCCCTTTAAATGTATTAACTGAGCTGATCAATTAATCATTACTATTTATATGTTTAAGATGTGTCTGTGATGATCTTACCTAGCGCCTTGTTAACACACTTGATTTTACTGGGTGTGCAGATATCAGCATCGCCTGTAGAGAGATATTTGATGTGTGAAACATTTATTTATCACATCAGTTAGGGGGCTTGTAGATTGTTTACAGAAGTCTGCTCCATAAAGTGTTTTCAAGAAAGCCACTGTCTCGACAGGTAAACAATGAATGTTGAGATGCAGCTACCAATCTGTCAGCAGCTTTAAGAACAATTTTACAGATGAGCTGTGTGGTGGCGTGACAAGTACCAACACGGCATATTTGTTCTTACTGATACAGACAGTTTTTATGACAACTCTCACATACTACAGCACGCACCTGGCATATGCACCATCCTGCAGTTGCACTCTCTCTGCACCTGTGTGCTCTCACAGTGCAGTCTGCAAGCGCTGACGCTGTAGGTGTCGTATCCTGGGATCACAGGCTCAGATGAAGCCCGACAGTTTCCCCACGGCTGTGGCAGGTATGTTAGCTAGAAAAACAGCAGACATTTAGGGAAAAGGTCTGTGTGTCTCTGCTTCTTTGTCTGCCTGAGTGCACCCTATGGCTGTGAAATACTTAGCACATGCAGTCTCAATTAGAAAATATCCCAGTCAGCCTTGAAATCTTTTTGACTCTTAGCTCCCAATTTAAAATGTCTGGAATTCAAGAGTTTAGAACAGCTTTCTTTTGAATTCAGACCTTAGCCGTTTTTATGGTTTTTACCCCAGTTAAACCTACCCTCTGTTCCTGACAGGAAACAAATGTCTGGAATCCTGGAGAGACCCCAAAGCCCAGCTGGTGGATATACGGGGGTTCGTTCTGACTGTGAATCTGAACCCGAATACCTGCCTCCAGTGTGGTCTCATCTGAAAATGGACAGATTGAATGGGTAAAAAAATCTGACAGATGTTCTATTTCTTTGTACTTTTGAAGGTGAATTGATGTGAATCCACTTTATGTCGGAGTCCTGATCACTCTGTCGGGGTTTATTTTGCAAAAAATTATATATAACTGTATATTATTGTATGATTGTGTGCTAAATAAATAAATATATAAGTGGTCATAAAATACGGATTTAAGGTTTTAAATTAATTAAGCATATTAATAAGACATGTTTCTTGATAAGGATCTTGTGACACTGAAGACTTTGAGTCACGGCTGCTGACAATTCAGCTTTGCCACAGAAATAAATAACATTTTAAAATATATTAAAGTAGAAAACAGTTATTATAATTGTAATGATATTTCACAGTATTACTGTTTGTACGGTGTATTTTTGGTCAAATATGTGAATGCAGCCTTGGTGAGAATAAGAGAGATTTCAAAATCTTACGACCCCAACATTTTAAATGGTAGTAGGCTATATAAAAAAATTACATTGTACAGCATCACATCAGCTTTGCAATAAACAATCAAATTAATACTGAAAATCTTCAAAGTAATTTTCACTACAATCGTTAAATGAGATGCAAAATGGCGGCAATTGCGTTTGTCACTCACTGGTTTCTCTCCAGATGGGCAGATACTCGTCCTGCTGAATATCCAGCATCAGCTCCAGTCCGTTTCCTGTGCCGCCTTGCCTTACCCGCTTGGGTGACGTCTTGTTTCCATTAAACGTGTAACATTTCCCAAACCGTGTATACACCTGCAGACCACAGACACAAACGTGTATTACACATATTTGCACTACTGGAAACACCTCAACACCTGTGCTTCTCTGCCTAGTCTTTTTTCACACACACCAAAATCTTCATACAAAGGTGTTAGCAAATGGCACTTCACTTCTCTCAGATTTCCTAACTATACCATCACCTTATCCATTATTGAAGCAGCAGCATCAACTGTTGCATCTTTCCCTTATTTTGACTCTCTGTCCTGACTCCTCTAAGTAGGCCTGGTGAAAAGCTTGTTTCCACCACAAAATAAAAAAAAATCCAAATCCAAAAAAAGGTAATCTATCTACATTTTATCTTGTACATTCACATTGCAATTACAAGTTTATATCAAACAATTCTGACTTTTTCCCTCAATTATAGGAAGTTTACATCATAAAATTCTGTTTTTTTTCTCAGAATTCTGAGTTTACATCTTTTTTTCTTGGAATTTTGATTTAACATTTTGCAATTCCGTTTTTTTTTTCTTTTGCCATGGAATAAAAAATGCAAGTTTACATCTTGCAATTCAGACATCTCTTCTCAGAATTATGGGTTTATACCTTGCAATTGCAAGTTATAAACTCCTAATTGCAAGTTAGCATCTCGCAATTTTGATTTTTTGTTTCTGCCATGGAATAAAAAGTAAAAAAAAAAAAAAAGGTAATTGCAATTTTTTTTTAAATCTTTCTTTCGCAAGAAAAAAGTCCGAACTGTGAGATAAAAAGTCACAATTACATTTTTAAATCTTTTCACCCCATGGCGGAAACAAGCTTCCACAGTTTACTGAGACAGCACATAAGGGAACTCCAGATGACTTTACCTCATATTTCAATCTTGACGAAAAGCTATGGTGCAAAGCTTGACGCTACTGCCCCGAGGAAACTCTTCTGCACCTTCTACTCCCTACTCAACCCTCCACCTACGCTTTCCTCTCTCTCTCCTCATGACAAAAATAACATTGTGAACTTCCAAGTACTCTCTTCCAAGTACTATCTTTTATCTGTTTTTTTTTTTTTGTATTGGTATAGGAAGCTTTCCAAATTGCATGCATGCCATCTGTTGATAACAATGGTCTTGTAGGCAATACTAAAGCAATTTTGTAAGTTGCCCTGGATAACAGCATCCACTAAATGCCTTGAATGAATGTAAATGTAAGAGAACACTTTACCTTCTTCAAAAGGCCAATTTAGTCTGTTGAAATAGCTTTCACATTGTACAAAACACAGTGCACAGCTGTCACTCAAACACAGATTTTCAGATAAACACAAACACGCAAGACATAAATTATTTTATGTCTACCCAGTATAGCAGCAATTTTGCCAATGTCATGCTGGTTAGGGTTTTATTTATTTATTTCAGTGCATGAAACCTTCCCCCAGAGAAAATCAAATACTCATGTAAACCAGAAGCCTTCCCACAAATCATTCTGATAACAGACATGAGGGTGTAAAAGTCTATAATGACCAGAGAATGTTCATAAAACAGATGTGGTGGATAGAGGAGACACTATTATGTAAATGTACACAAACACTGTGTAGAGAACATGACTAAGAGACCAACTGTATAAGACCAGATACACATGACATACAACCTTTTTTGTCAAGTAAAATGTGGATAGATAGACTGTGCTGATACTACTGAATCTATTGAACATTGTAATGTTTTTGGCTTTCCTTGTGTAACCAACAAAATGTATAAAACTGCTGCATGATTTTATAAACAAGCCCAAAATGCACAGGGACTCCTATTTTGAAATGCCTTTTCAACTGCTCATCGAGTGCTGCAGGGGTGATGTATTTTTGTAGGCCAGAACTCAGAAACAAGTTTGCATTTTAGTATTTCCGGTTCCATTGTCTTGGTGTAAATGTTTTTTTTTGAATGGCTTTTTGGTTTAATGCCTGAAATAAGGTCTGTGGTTAATACTAGCTCAACTACAGAGGTTGTCGGGGACATTAAACGTCATCACACCAAATAGGTAAACTCATCTCCATAGATTTTTGCTCTAGCAAACTATCCTAACTTAAACTTTCAGGGATTTAAAAAAATAAAGACTGAAGGAGCTGCTAACATTTATTCCATTAAAAACATTAACCTGTATCATGATTCCTGTTTTCCTTCCCCAAATTTTAACCCTCTTAAAATAATAATTAAGACTTGTTGTTGCACCATTTAAGATATTTTTTATCTTAATTTGGATAGAAACATTTGACATATGACATTTTAAGACTTTTTAAGGACACACAGGGGCCCTTGGATATTTTGAAAATATATTTATTTTTTTCTCTCTACCCACTGCCTTTGACAAATGTTACCAGGAACTAAGTGCCCAGGAGCCAAGATGGCAGCATCCAGGTCACATACCTCTGAGGGGCTCTGCAATTGCTGGCCAACTGCCATTAAGATGAATGGGAATGTTAATGGAAAGCTTTCTTCAGGCATTTAAGACTTCCTTCATCAGTACATATGAAATATGTACAAAAGTGTTGTGTAATTATTTAAACTTCTGCCCTCTATAGATAGTCTGTTGTGTGTGACCCGTGTTTGTGTGGATGACGTGTCTGTGTGTAAAATATGTTTGTGTGACCTGCATGTGTCTGGCCAGATAAATATGTGCATCTGTGGTAATCCAAAGTGAGACAGTAGGGATTAAACCACACTTCCTGCAGGAAGACAGAATATCAATCTAGCTTCATTAATCTTTTACCCTAGGAAGACCCTTTTCTTTGACAGACAAAGCGATATTATATACTTTTTCTGCAGTCCAGAATCAAGAGCTTGAGGATGTGATATGTACTGTATATGCCAGTTTTATATTTTTATCACTTTTATCTGTGCATCAGTTTTGATTTGTATCTGTCATCTCCCACTTCCTTGTTAAACTGCAGCTGATTTTCATTACACACAGTTCTTACAGGGTTATTGAAAGGACAGGAAAGAGAAGCGTAACCTTAGGTTTAATCTAAAGGTCAAGAAAAGACAAAAAAAAAAAAAACTCATACTAATGCCATCCTCACTATGGTATTATACAAAATGGTAAGCTAACTCCAATAGCCTATTAAATAAAATACTAACCTCATGTAAACAAACAAATGGCATTATAATAAAAACGTTCACACACTGACTTAAGACGCATGAGGTATAAAGATGGAGTCAGTTTAAGCATAGCTGCAGAAGTGTGGGAATGAAAAACAACATGACTGACTCTCATGTAAGTTACGCAGATATGGATGTGAGATGCATATTTCATAATATGCTAACTGGATAGCAGTAATGTGTGAATGTATTCCAGTCAGAAGAAGTTCAGGTTCAAAGAAGAGAGAGAAATAAAACAAGAGAGAGAGAAAGTCTAAGAGTAAGATTAAGAAAGTGAGTGTGACAGAGTGTGTGTGTGTGTGTGTGTGTTCTTACATTCATTCTTTCTGACAGTAGACTTATGTGTAGTCTTTAATTGTGCCTGCGGCAACGCTTGTTATTGTTGCTGAGCGATTTTCCTTTCGGGTGTTTGTGAAGGTGCTGCTGACGATAAATACATATCACAACACAAATGACTCACCTCAGCATCTGAGGCCTATAGTCCTAATAATGATTTTTCACTTACACTCTTAAAAATAAATATTGTAAAAAGGGGCTTTCACATGAATGCCATAGAAGAGCCATTTTGGTTCCCCAAAGAACCTGTCAGTGAACAGTTCTTAAAAGAACCACGATGAACATTTAAAAAATCTAAAGAACCTTTATCCACCTTTTTTGGAATGGAAAGGTTCCAGGGATGTTAAAGGCTCTTCATGGATTGTTTCCTCAGAAACATCAATTAACACAGTCTTAACCTAGCCAAAGTACTACATTCAACGTAAGCACAACCTTACATTTGATACACATTACTTTGTGCTGTATTTGAGCATATTACTGCAATGTAACAAAGATTAGATTTTTTTTTTCATGGTTATGACAAGTTAGTGCATATTGGGTAAATGTAGTTTCTAAAATCAGGTGGAAGTGAACACAGGAGACATATGGATTCTGTGTGCGTGTGTGTTACTAACAGGGCACCACTGTTGCCAGTAGGTCTGCCTCAGGCATTCTCTTTCATTTGTGATTTCCCGTTTTTAATTAACTCCTCACGTTTGTTAACACAGCATCACATTCCTAAGCTCTTTATTACAAGCTGTTGTTTATTTCTTTCAATTCAGTGCAGTTCATCACAACTACATTTTTGGAGAATAATTAGTTTGTTTTACACTCCTATCTAAAATATGCAGATGAATTATAACACTTTTAAAAGGCTGCTAACGAGTCATGGTTATATACATGACTGAAATATTCAAATCCAAACCATTTCAGACACTGTTATTTTTAAAATATGAATTCATTTTATCCATTAAAAATAATGAATTTTAATTATTTTTAAATTATGGGCTTGCGCCACAATGCAGGCCAGACTTAAAGGGATAGTTCACCCAAAAAATTGAAAATTCTGTCACTATTTACTCACCCTCATGAGTTTCAAAGCCATAACACACGAATTAAAATAGTATTAATGAAACCGGAGAGATTTATGTCCCTCCATTGAAAGTCCATTAAACCAAAACATTGGCATGAAAAGATCATAAAATAAAACCAAATGAGAACTAATGAGGTTTGTTCTCTTGCATCAAGCAAGTACAGTTGAGCATCTCTTCACCATATTTGATATGTTCTATGTATGTGCATTGATCATTGTTTATGTGTCAGTAAAAGCGTAAACTAAATATTTTCAGTGTATAAAGTGATCATATCTCTTCAGAAGACTTGGATTAAACCGCTTGATTCATATGGATTACTTTTATGATGTCTTTATGAACTTTTTGAAGCGTCAAAATGTTGGTGGAATTGACTTGGAGGGACAGAAATATTTCATTAAAAACATCTTTATTTGTGTTTTGAAGATAAACAAAAGTCTAATGGTTTGGAATAGCACGAGGATGAGTAATTAATTATAGTATTTGACGTTTGGTATTGAGATTATTTTAAATGAATTTCAGCCTAAAATTAAATCTTGTTATGAGCGAATAAAAGAAAAGAAAAAATAAATACCATTTACAGCACAGTGTCCTAAAAAGGCACTTCACTTTTTATTTTATCTGAACGACTATTAGAAGAATCTTGTTAATTAATTGAAATATTTCCTTCATTCATTCTGTCATGAAAACAACACAAAAAGCTTGAAATAGCGACATCATACAGCATTAGTCCACACATCCTCCTAAAACAGATAAACAAACACACACACACAGGCATGTACACATATCCACAGCCATGCAGACTTGCTTCAGGTTTTCTGCTCCAGTGACCTGAACAGCTGAAATGGTAGCTCTATTCCATGTTCTCTGAAACCCTCCACAGACACAGACATGTTCAGCAGCTGCTTGACTGCCCACAGATTTGTGGAGACAGACACGTTATTGAGCCCTGTGATTCTAAAAAGAATTTCCTCTGCCTATAACGTATACAAGTCACGAGGATGCCAGAAAGCACCCAAAAGCATTCATCACCATTCACAGCCTCAATTGGATGCACACTGATGTACAGACCCAATTTACCATGATAAAAATGAATGTGGATGTGCAATTAAAGTTTAGATTTGTGAATGCTCATGGCCATGCAGTTTTGTAGTGTAAGTGGCGTCGGGTTTTCATTCACATGATTTGGGTCCCTATTGAGAGTCACGGCAGAAATGTGTGAGTCAGACATACAGTATCTAAGTTGGCATATCTGATTAATTAAAGACTATTTTAATTAATGAAGATCATTAGGCTAAAAGCTTGAACGTCTGAGTAGAGCAACATACAGTACACTGGAGGTGAACAACCGTGATATTTTGTTGCAAAGAGGCAATTGTACACACAAACACACACACACACACAAACACACACACACTGCCTTTCTTTGTACAATTCATTACTTTTTTTTTTAAAATTTGTAGCTAATTCTACAAAGCAAACCGGTAATCAAGCAACATACAGTACACTGGAGGTGAACAACCGTGATATTTTGTTGCAAAGAGGCAATTGTACACACAAACACACACACACACACAAACACACACACACACACACTGCCTTTCTTTGTACAATTCATTACTTTTTTTTTTTTAATTTGTAGCTAATTCTACAAAGCAAACCGGTAATCAATTGCAGCACAAGCCTTCTGGCACCATTCTGCTTTAGTGGGCTAGCTGTCAATCATGTCTGTCCATCATTCACACCATCTGTAAAGCATGTATGTGCCTGAAAATCTGCAGGACTATGTGTTTGCTTTGCTTCAGGTTAGCTAACATTGACCTGTTTCATTTTCCACCAGTGTGTATGCTTAAAGCTGAAGGTTATATAGAAACTGTTCCATCACTCTCTCGACCTCATGCTGGGGTTAATCAATGCACAAAATCACACTTAATGATCGCTTGATTGATCCCCTGCTGAGGTTAGAACCTCTCTTTCTCTCTGCCATCCTGACTCACACATCATGCTGTGTTTAGCACCGCATCTGCTTGCCTTATATACAGTGTGTGCTTTATACATTATAGCACAACTACAGAAAATGCTCCAAATGTGTTTATTTAATAATGTGCATGATGCTGAAGACTGTTTTGGTATTTGATATTTTTATATTTACTTACAATAGTGTTTAAAAGTTTGGGGTTGGTAGGATTTGGTAGGATTGGTGAGTCTTTTATGCTTACCAAGGCTGCATTTCTTTGATAAAAAATACAGTAGAAGCACTATTGTGCACTATATTGCTATTGTGAAATATTTTTTAGAATGTGAAATTACTGTTTTCTATTTTAACATATTTTAAAATGTAGCTTATTTTTATGTCAAAGCTGGATTTTCAACAGTCTTCAGTGTCACATGATCCTTCAGAAATCATTTGAATATGCTGATTTGGTGCTCAAGAAACTTATCAGGGTTGAAATCAGCTGTGCTGCTTGATATTTTGTGAAAACTAATTTGTTTCAGGATTCTTTGATGAATAGAAAGTTTAAAAGAATGGCATTTATTTGAAATAGAACTTTTTAGTAACATTTTAGCTGTCACTTTTGAACAATTTAATGCATCCTAGCTGAATAAAAGTATTAATTTCTTAATTAAAAAAAAATAAACTTACTGACCCCAGACTTTTGAACAGTGCACATGCATTTATTAAATTATAACTACAAAAAAAAGAATAAATATTTGGGTGAAAAGGACTACAAAGGGGCATTTCTAATTCAAAACACTGCTGTAATACTACGGTAAAGAAAATATCATTTTCATTTCAACTTGTCATGTGGACAATAGAGTACACACAAACAGCATGTGCTTTTGTTTATTGACAATCATGGACTCCCATAGACAAATTACAATGAGACTATGCAAAACACTGATTGATTCTCATAACTTAATAACAATACATTTCTTAAACTGTGATTATACCTGTCTGATTGTTAATGAGTGTGTCAAGCATGTGTGTGTGTGGTTTATTCATCTAACGGTGGGTTTGAATCTCTCTGCATGTTCCTGTCGTAGAGCTGAATGTTTTGAAAGTGTGCTCTCATTTTGCCTTGGGCAGTTTAAGACATCCTGGAACTCAGAGGCAGATGTTGCATCAGAGCTGGAGGGCTTGTCTTTGGCTCATTTTACCACTCAGAAATAGGCAGGTGCTGACAGAAACGCTACTTAGTCTTTTAGATTGAATACAATTTGGAGGCATAGTTTGACCTGTTTGGTTTTATTTACCATAGGCTCTGTTTAGATATGTTTACTTGCAGTCTGAAACAAGAGATTTGTCAGTCTGCAATTGGAGAGATGGCGAGATGTACAAAAACACCTCAGTGTCCCACTTTGAAACCACCTGGATCTCTTTCTCTCTCTTTTAATGCCTCTGTCTGTCGTTCTCTCTTCCTGTCCTTATAATGACCTCTCACTGGGACAGTTTGCCATTACTCACATATCTGTTTGTTGTGTATTTTTTGGGCATGTTTTCCTGAGCACAAAGATCAGCAATCATCTTGTCGGTCAGTTTCAGCCCTCAAACCTTTCATTAAAGAGATAATGTCCCATCGATTGATGTAAAGGTTAGACCTAACATTGTGTCAGTTACATCTCAATGTTTACTGCACACACAGAATGCTATAGTGCAGACCATAAACAGCAGAAATAAAATTCTGCACATGTATTGCCCTGTCTGTTGGAAAAACCATTCGGGACACTGCACTGACATCACAGAGAATCAGCCTAGAGTCAAAAGAAATGTCAGCACTTTTGTTCTGTTGCTGAGAGCAGGGGAAATGGACTGAGTACATGAATCACTTCTGAGACTTTTACATATAAAACCATAAAATCTCCACATTTACTGCTGTATGCGTAGAAGATAACAAAAAGGAGAGCTCTGTGTTGCTTCAATTCTTTCTAGAGAATCACATGTTCATGTCTGACGTCTTCAGAGCTCCGAACATTAAAACTGTCTGAATTTGTTTCGAACCAAAAAGGATTTCCTTCAGCAATTTAAAACCTGTCTGAACAAGAGCGCTTTCCACCACATATCAAGAAACAGATCAAAGCACCCAATGACAGTGTGGAATCTTTTGTGTTTGTGTCGTGTATAATGTGTCTGCTTGGTGACAGGTCATTTTTTGTTTTGTTTTTTATGGAAATCGGTCTTTTTTTTCATTCATTGAAGAAAAGAAAGTTTCAATATTATACAGTAAATTGTATTGACCCTAAACTTTTGAACAGTAATTGAAAGGACAGAAGAGACTTTATCTAACCTACTTGTTGGTTTAACCGAGAAAAAAAAAACTAATATATCCCATATTTTAATAATAATAATAATAAAGGCTACATGAATATAAAAATAATGAAACTGATGCAAACTTGCAATAGCACCTAGCTGATTCACAATAAACAAATATGGATAGAGCAAAGATAATTTAATTAAAATGTTTCTGATCCCAGCAGATTTCTTGGATTTGAATGAAACGTCACCCATAAATCCCCCATTGTGATTTTTCGTGAAATGACAGGATGTTGATTTATTAACAAGCAATAATAACATGTTCTACAAAAAACAAAAAAAAAAGAATAATATTTAATCCAATTCTATTAACAGCTTTGCTCATATCATAGTGGTTACATATATTCTCTGATATATTTGACGTTGACAGCTTTGGTGAGTAAACAGATGAGCGTGATTGTGTGATATTTATCTAAGGAGTCTGATATATTGTGCCGTCATTACAGTTTATTTTCGAGTGTGTGGCTGAATGCTCGCACATGCTTCATCACACAAGCAATCAGAATTGAGGAGCAGAAAATTTGTTCAGGCAGTTAGTTTGCGCATCCAGACTGTTTACACAGAGAATGTCAATAAACCACTTTAGATGCCACAGAAAAACAACTCTCAATCCATTGATGAGTCTTGAAAAAATAAAATGTCGTGTTAATTTTCGTCAGTATTTCATAAAAATGTCAATGTGCCAAAAAAAAAAAAAAGTCTTCAACATTGTACTACAGATTAAAATCTCTGGACACCTAAGATAATGAAAGATGATTAGACGTTAATGAGATGCCATTTGAAAGTGATTGTATTAATAGAAGTGAAGTGATTTCCTTTTATCTCAAGCAGTCTTTGTTATAACTAGTTATGATTAATTATTCATATTTCCCCATGAGCTGATTCGCTACAATGGAGATGTGATTAGTGTTTTAAATCATCTAAAGGCAGTGGCAGAGTTCATCAGATCTCTCTCACACACTTGCTTAGTATCTTTCTGTCCATCTCTTTCTCTCTTATCCTCTTGTTGCCCCGCAATTTGCATTTTGCTGAGTAATGGGAAACGTTACATTCATACTAAAGCAACTTCAAACACTCAATTGATTTTAGAGCAAGCCCAGAATGTAATCTCTAAATCCTGTTGCTATACTGAGTTTGCCTTTGAAGTTGTCATGAACAAAGAGAACCATCCAGGAGGAATCATCATAATTCCTAGGTCCAAAACAGAGAAGGAAGGAATCCAGGATTTACTGCTGCCTTTGTTACCAAGACAATCATACAGCAATAAAAAAAGCCAAATAAATAAATTTATTTCATCCCTAGAGCTATAATCATTTTATAGTACTGTGTGTTTTTGCTATGATATATTTCCACGACTATGCTTCCAACGAGATGAAATGACAATGACCACTATGTGATCTCAATTATGTTATTAATCATACGGCGTGCATTTTGCAAAGCTGACCAGCATTTAACCTTCTGAGGATTTGTGCTTTATTGCTTTTTATTGCTCCATCTCTTTATCTTTCTATCTCAGATTTACATCACTTTTTCTGAAGATCCCACTGCACGCAGAACTATATGAATAGAGAAGAAAATAAAATCATTCTGAGAGAATGTTGCTTTATGTTTTTGAAATTAAGATTTTTTTAAATGTTTTTTTTATGTCTCTTATGCTCACCAAGGTTGAATTTACTTGATCAAAAATACAGTTATAACAGTAATACTGTGAAATATTATTACTATTTAAACTGTTTTATATTTTAATATATTCTAAATATTTTATAAATATGATTAAATATTATATAAATATTTTAGTGCTGTCAAACGAATAATCGCGATTAATTCGCATCCAAAATAAAAAAGTTTTTGTTTACATAATACATGTGAGTGTACTGTATAATTTATTATGTAAACAAAAACTTTTATTTTGGATGTGATTAATCGTGATTAATCATTTTACAGCACTAAATATTATATAAATAGTATATAAGTATATTATAAAAATGTTCTTTAATGTATTACTGTGATGCAAAGCTGAATTTTCAGCAGCCATTACTCCAGTCTTCAGTGTCACATGATGCTTCAGAAATTATTCTAATATACTGATTTGGTAATTAAGAAATATTTCATATTTTTTATCAATGTTGAAAACAGTTTTTGCTGTTTAATATTTTTATGGAAACTGTGCTACACTTGCACTTAAAGGATTTGGGAAAGTGCAATAATAATAAAAAATAATAATACTATTATTCAGCAAGGATGCATTAAATTGATTAAAAGTGAAGACATTTATAATGTTACAAAAATATATCTCAAATAAATGCTGTTTATTGAACATTTTATTCAACAAAAATATTCATCAGAAAAAAAAAAACTTTCAACATTGATAATTATAAGAACGTCTAGGTTACTTGTGTAACCCTCGTTCCCTGAAGGAGGGAACGGAGACGTTACGTCAGTCGTGACTGACGAATTGGGATCTCGCCCGAG